AAAAAAAAAAAAGAATTTGTGGACAAATCTTAAAGCCAAGTCAGATGCTCTGTCTGGAAGGACTGCTGTAGTCTGAATGCATCTCCTCTGAAATTCACTTGTTGGAGACTTAATCCCTACTGCAACAGGGTTGGGAAGTGGGGTCTCATGGGCGCCACTCTTGTGAACTGGTAAATGTGAAAATGGCTTGTGGGAGTGGGTTCTTTTTTTTTCTTGAGACAGAGTCTCAAGCTATTGCCCTGGGTGGAGTGCCGTGGTGTCACAGCTCACAGCAACCTCAAACTCTTGGGCTTAAGTGATTCTCTTGCCTCAGCCTCCCAAGTAGCTGGGACTATAGGCGCCCGCCACAATGCCTGGCTATTTTTTTTTGTTGCAGTTGTCATCATTGTTTTAAATGGCCCAGGCCAGGTTCGAACCCGCCAGCCTCAGTATACCCTACCCACTGAACTACATACGGGTGCTGCCAAGAGTGGGTTTTTTTTCTCCTGCCCTCTGCCCTTTTGGGACAAAGCGTTCCTCCTTGCCAGAGAATGCAGTATTCAAGGAAGCAGAAAGACTGGGCCCTCACCTGATGGTCCCTTAATTTTGGACTTCCCAGTGTTCAGAACTGGCCTCATGCTCCATGGCTGGTAGGTTCAAACCCTTTCCAGACCTGCTAAACAAAACAAAAAATAGCAGGGTGTTGTGGTGGGCGCCTGTAGTCCCAGCTACTCAGGAGGCTGAGGCAGAATCACTAGGGCTTATTTTTAGGGGATGTCTTCCACTCCGCACCAAAATGCAAGGTGTGGCTATGCAGCATATCTGCACAGCCCATCACTAGGTCTTATTATCGGGGTAGGGCTTATATTTAACAAATGCATAGAAATCCTGCTAGGGCTTATTTTTTGGGTAGGTCTTATTTTCAGGGAAACTCGGTATCTCTCCACCACCCTGCCACCAGGATATCCCCCAGCTTAGGCGCCAGGCCAATGTGTGACCTCCGTGTACTGATTTATAATTATGCCTGCCTGAAATGTACCTCTGCCTTTAAAAGCCGCAGCTTGTAAGCCACGGGAGAGTTTAGGTGTTAAGTGTGATAAGCTGCAGTGAACACTTTCTTCTGGTGCAACTCAGCCTCAGTGTCTTTACTTCACTGCACCTGTGGAATG